CCTTGTACTGCTTCCCAAGAAAAACTGCAAGTTTTCTGTTTTCCTTTCCCTGGATCTGGCGTAACACCAAAGGGATAAATGAATCACAAGAAACAGGGACTTGTGGAAGAACACACAGCAAGAAACAGAAGGAAGAAAAAGAGAAAAGTAAGGACATGAGGAGAAGCACTGGTGTCGGGAAGAGCCTCTGCTGAGTTCTCAGGAAGGAACCATGACTCAGGGCAGGGAAATGGCAGACGCACAGAGTAGGGGAAAGACGAAAAATTCCACCACATTGCATGATTGATCCCGTGTTGGCTGCTTTTTGAGAATTAAAGTAAATAGCTTAACTATTTTCTATTATACTTGCTTCAATGACTATTGGGATTAGACCAAAATAAGGTTTTAACACATGCAGGATATTTTTTTTTTAAGGTGTCCCAGCATGGAACCATGAAAAGATGGGAAAGCAATGAGAAAATGAACAAACCTTAATCCAGGAAAGATACAGCAAGCAGAAGGTACGGTAACTATGTAAAATTGCATGAATTGATATAATCCTTGAATTTACTCCTATGACATAGGATGAAATAAATGAACACCTCATGCTTACAATGAGAGGAAGCAATGTGAGGTGTTTTGAAATGGACAGCTATTGTAAGACTGAACAATTCACCACCACTCAGACATATGCCTGCTTTTCCCCCATATAAAAAGGACTGAGACTGGAGAATCAAGATGGCAGAATAGGGTAAGGACACATTTAAACGGATGGAGAAACATTTAGTCAGAATGAAGCAGAGGGACACATTCCAGGAAATAGGAAAGGACAGAACAACAGCAGAGGAGTACCTGACAGACAGAAAAACAAAGGAAACAATGGTGTGGTGTTGCAATGACTGATTATTAGCAGCATGCAGCTAATGGCCATCTCCAGCAAGCAGGTGGGAAGGGACTTTCGCTGGGAGCTCAGGAGGTGAGCCCAGACAAAGAACTGCCCGTCCTGCTGGTCTGTTTCATTTGACCAGGAGCAGAAACAGAGCAGCAGATCCCAGAGGGGCAGTGCAGGGATAAGGTGGATTTCACGGCCCAATCCACCCGCTAGAGCTGAATTGGGCGCCATTTTGCTCAAGGAGCCAAAGGCAAAGGAAAGGATTGAGCATACACTGAGCTGGGAGTGAGCTCATTTCTGACTCAGTGAACTGCAACAGTGTGGCATCCTACAGGCTCCAAGGCAGTTCTGGGTAACCCTCAGACCTGACCGCCAGCAGATCAAGAACTCTAGTAGTGGCACAACATCTAGTAGTGGCAGCATCATTTTCTTCAAAACGCTTCTTGACTTTTTTTTACAATTCTTCAGCAACACATTAGTCATTCAGTAGCATGTTATTTAACTTCATGGTGTTGTTAATTTCTTTTCTTTTCCTGTTGTTGATTTTGTTTTGTGGTTTTTCATTTAAGGGGATGTATAGTAGCTGTCTAATGGAGACTCTCATATATATTAACATGTTATTTAACTTCATGGTGTTGTTAATTTCTTTTCTCTTCCTGTTCTTGAGTTTGTTTTGTGGCTTTTCATTTAAGAGAATGTATAGTAACTGTGTAATGGAGACTGTCATATCCAGATGTGAGGATGCAATGCAGTATGCATCTCTACTTCCAGACAAAAATGGACTTCCAATGAAACTGTTTACTGTATCTTGACAATAGGATGCTGGACTCTCTACCACTGTCCATGCCCACAATGATGGACTTATTACTGTGTATGAAGAAGTATACTTTCGACTTTAGTAATGATATAGGGGGGATTGAAAAGGGGATAAGGGAAATGCCAGGAACCTATGGAACTGTATCATAAAATAATAATAATAATAAATAAATAAAAGATTAAAAAAACAGAACTGAGATTTCCTTTTGTGATCTCTTCTGCACAGTGAATGTCATTTGGCTCACAGAGGGAAACCAATTTCATTACTAGCCATTAGCTGAGAAATCAACCATCCTTTCTGGCAATAGTTTTCATATCCATTGCACTTTTTTGAGATGTTTTTAAATATTCTTGATAAAAGGTAAGGTAATTTCTCACAGACTTGCACTTGTTTATGTAGTTTCAAATGTTATGCTCTCAGAAATTTCTCTCAATTTTAATACACATTATAAAACTCTCTTAACCATTTATAATATTACAGTCATTCAAACTTTCTGTGGGTTTCCTGGGGACTGCATTAAGCCATAAGAAAACTTAGCTGGACCTTATTCTGGCGGAGTTTTTTAAAAGGCTTCTGAAGAAAACTAATGGAACTATAACATTTCATCAGATGTGGATATAAATATATTTTCCAACTATTAAAGACAGGAATGCCTCACTGCCATTTATCTTACAGCAAAGAGTCCTAAATATCCTGAGAACGAAGACCCTCATAAGAGATCAGGGAAGGGCTGATCACCACCAGGGCACCTACATGCCGTATCAGAGTACCAGGGCGCAAGTCCCAGCTCTTCTCCAATCAACAATTTGGCTAATGGGCATCACAGAAGGCAGTAGGTGATAGCTCAAGTACCAGGGTCTTTGCCATCCACTTGGGAGGGCAAAAGGATCCTATTATGGAAATCTGCATAAGAAGTAAGGATGCTTACACCTGGTGCAGTAGCCTAATAGCTAAAGCCCCCACTTTGCACATGCTAGGACCCCATATGGGCACCAGTCCTGGTGGTCCCACTTCCCATACCAGCTCCCTGCTTGTGGCCTGGGAGAGTAGTAGAGGACAACTCAAAGCCTTAGGACCCTGCACCCATGTGGAAGACCCAGAAGATGCTCCTGGCTCCTGGTTTCAGATTAGCTCAGCTCTGGCCTTTGCGGCCACTTGAGCAGTGAGTCATCGGATGAAAGATCTTCCTCTCTGTGGCTCTTCTCTCCGTATATCTGACTTTCCAATAAAAATTTTAAAAAGAAAAAAAAAAGGATGCTTTACATGAACCCACCCTAAAATATCAATTGGCTGCACTGAATTGCACTTAGGAAAGTGGAAACTTTTTTTTTATATAATAAAATGGATGCCTGCTGTATGCTAAAGTTATTAGATCATGGACTTTTTCACCCTGAATTATTAAGGGACTTTTAGGATTTTACAGCAAGCTATTTACTTCTTTTTAGATCATGAAAAAGGTGCAAGCTTAAAACATAGTTGGTTTGCTGAAAGAGAAATGAGATGAAAATACAACTCTGCTAAGAGAAAACTTTTGTGACTTATACATACTGATGATCCAGTAATTATGAGTAGATAACCTGCCAAAACTAGGTAACTACAGTGAGCATTTAGCCTTGTAGGTAAGATACCTTCACACCACATCAGAATACCTGGGTTCAATTCAGAACTCTGGCTCCCAACAGCAGACTCCTGCTTTTCCAGACCCTAGTAAGTTCCTGCCACCCATGAGAAGGTCTGGATTGTATTTTTGGCTCCTGCCTTCAGCTCTAGCCCCAGCCAAGCCCAGTCACTGTAGACATTCACAGAGTCAATTAGTAGATGAAAGGGCTTGCTCTCTTTTTCTCTCTCAAAATAATAATCCAGTCTTCGTGAAACTTTTTGGAATTTTCTTATATAGTTGAGAAATATATAGTAAATCTGTCCTTATTCATTTTATTGCTATTTAATAAGTATTATTTGTACTTATTCTAGTGATGACTTCAGATACACAAATAAGCGTTTCCTAAAAAACTAAACATCTGTGATTACTAAAAAAAAAAAAAGCAAAAGAAGCCACCCACATATTTCTTTTAATATGCTCCTACTCTGTATCAAAGTACAACTTATTTTCAAAGATTATCACTTTCTGATAAACCTACGTACCAAATGCTTTTGCATACACTATGGTTCTTAAAAGATAGTAGGCCTTGTTAGTTTAATGTGACAATTTTGTAAAGATCTATTATTTCTCAGAGAAAACAATTCTGTAGAACCCACAAAAAGGAAGGAAGAGATAGAGGAGTGAAGGAACATTCATACAGCAGCAGCCAATCTGTAATTTCTCTCCAGGAAGAAGCTAGCAGGACCTGAGCTTGGCGGAGAAGGGACACTCAGTGACATGCCTTAAAGCAATTCCTTTCATTAGAATAGCCTGCCTCTGTGGGAAGTGCCCACAGCAATGGTGGAGGGAGTAGACAGAACATACGACCCCTTAATTCAGTCAGGGTGTCTCCATCTTGACTGAAACCACCACCACCACCACCACTTGTTTCTTCTAAGAATTTTGGTTGGCTGCTCAACTGTTTTATGTGCATACGTATACGTGTGATCTTCATTCCATGCTCACTTGTCTCCGGTTTTGACTTTCCCTAATTTCCCATCTTCACCTGAATGAAATTATACCACATAAATCAATTAAAATATGTGACCTCAAAAGATCAAATCACCAAGTGTCTATGGCCAACAATTTTACTTCATGGCCACACGTACTGAAGCAGAAGTTTTATTTTGAAAAAGGGCTGTTTCCGTAGGCAGAGTTACTATAAGTTAGAAAATAATTTATATAAGATTCAAGGGGGGGCAGAAAAAATCTATTCTGAACTTCCAGAGAGAAACTGAAATCAGTAACATAATTTTCAAATAAGGAAGATATGGCAGAGGAGAAGGCGGCTCAGAAACCATGCTCTGACAGCTCTGTAATGGCATCCCACACATCTGAAATCGGCCCAGCCACGGCTGTGCAACACAGCAAGGCAGACTGAGACCTGAGCCCTCCTTCCTGAGAGCTGTCAAAAACCTCCCACTGCAGCGGCATTTCCCTAAGAGTTTCACTCTTGAGTGGGTATAAATTTTGAGTGGTCCACCAGCCACAGCTGACATAAAAACCATCTATTGGCATCCTGGGTAGTCAAGGTACTCATGGCTCTAACTCAAGACTCTTTACTGAACAATTAAAAGGGAAACTAGTTAAAAACCTATTGTTTGTGGCCTCTGGACGCATTCCTTCTGTCCTAGTACAAAATCAATCCTTGGTAACAACCAGTCAACCGGTACATGCTCTCTGCCTGGTGAGTAATAAAAGAGCACTTGCTTGGTTGATCCCTTTACTGGTTTTAAAGAAAAAAAAAATTACAGTATTTGGTGATCCTTGTTAGGATGGATGAAGCCAATAAAAATCTAAACTGGCAAGATTAGTCAGATATAACCAAATGGCAGAAAAATCATGTTTTTAGCCCTTGTTTATACTCATGTGGAACTGAGGTCTTCCTACATTTTACCTGTTGAATATTATGGTTAGAGATGAATTAAGACTCTGAATATACAGTGGATTAAAAGTATGTCTTTGCAAAAGCTTAAAAAGAAGAGGCAGGGATGGAGAGGACTGACAGGGCAGGGTAAGAGAAATGTGATTGTCTTCTTTAAACCATACCTACCCAATGCAGGAAATGTGTTCTCTTTATATTAATGACAAATTTAAAGAAAATAAAGATAAAAAAGAGAAGGATCAAAATCATCTGGAAGAACTTTTCAGACACACAGACAAGAGATCAGAAGAAACCTGAATTGATTTCCTAGGGTCTTTGAAGTTCTGAATGGAATTTTGTGAATTTGGGTTGCCGGTGTTTTGCTCTTACCTTCCAGTTGAAGACTGTGACAGTCAATCAAAAGGAAGCTGTGTAAGTAAACAGTAGATATTGTGAAAGAATGGACCTAAACACTCAGCTTCTCCCCAAACAGTGGAAGGAAGCACTCTAGGGACCAGTCACATGTAAATTCTGTGCAATTTCACATGTCCCTGCTCTGGCCCATGCTCTTGCCTGGAATTCTCCTCCTGTCTTCATGGTAAATTAGTACTCACATATCCAGACAGCTCAATGTCACTTTTTTTATATACATTATCATGTCCAGGTCCTCTGAACAGCTAGCTCTTCTGCCCTATGCCCACAACACTCGGCATCTTGGTCCCAGAACTTGTCCACTGCTACTACCATGTAGGGATTCTGTTATTATATCAGACCATGCATCCCTACAAATTTTTGCTAAAAAGAAGGTTAAAAGAGTCCAATCTCACGGTCAGAGAATAAAAAGGAAATGGCTTAAGAGAGATGAATGTTTTTCCAAAACAAATTCTGTCAACTACATCACAAATGAGCCTGTTGAACAGACAAAGGGGAAAACAACAACTCAAGAAATAAATATGCCCCAGTGACCTCATGTTTTCCATGGGAAATGGAAGGGATGGCTAGAAGGCACATATAAGGCAGAAACAAAAGCAGAAAAGCACATGACAGAAACCTGTGAGGACAAAAGTGGAAGACAAAAGCAGAAGCAGAATAAAAAGAAGGTTGCACGCAATGCAAAGGAAAACTAGACAGGAAATTTTAGGAATACTGAGAGAAGGAACAGGATACAAAAGGCAGGGTACAAAAGGCTTACTGTCAACAGCACAATGAGTGAAGTAACATAAAGGAAAATAGATCAAATTGTGCAGCCCTAATCCCATTCTGCAGGTCTATCAAAGAGAATAAACAAAAAACTAAACAGGACAAGACACACTGGCTAGGAAAAAAATAAAATCCAGGAGGTTGCTAGTCTTACATAAAGCAAACCTCTGAGTTGTGGAACCACTGCTAATAAGTCCTGGAGAATTCTAGGAGAGAAGCGTCAAAGTGGAAAACAATACATCTGATCTTCAGAGAAAAACTAGAAACCACAAAAAATGGCACATTAATTGCATGCAGCAATACGCCCCATGAGCCATGCTCAGTAAATTGTGCATCGTGGCCCTGCACAGACATCATTGCCTACACCCTTAAGGTTAGTATTCTCGGGGCCTGGCATGGTGGCTTAGTGGCCAAGGTCCTTTCTTGAACGTGCCCCGGGATCCCATATGGGCTCCTGGAGGCTCCACTTCCCATCCAGCTCCCTGCTTGTGGCCTAGGAAAGCAGTCAAGAACGGCCCAAAGCCTTGGAACCCTGCCCCTGCGTGGGAGATCCGGGGAGAGCTTGAGCTTGGTCGTTGTGGTCACTTGGGGAGTGAATCATCAAACAGAAGATCTTCCTCTCTGTCTCTCCTCCTCTATATATCTGACTTGGCAATAAAAAAATAAATAAATCTTTTAAAAAAGATTAGTATTCTTCATTCAAATAAACATGGTTCATTGAGACTCACCTATAATAGCATTACTTTAATTTATTAAAATATAGTCAGTTTATTTAAAAAAAAAGTATCAGGAGAAAAATGTTCACAGCATCTGGATATTCTAATGCATAACACCATAGATCTGTTTCTTCAAATAATATGCAAAAACTCTACCTGGTAAAATGAAATAGTTAGGAATTCTCATGCTATCTATGGATATTCACATAAACTACAAAGAGTTTATAGGTCTTTGCTAACAATTACAGAATAAAAAGCTGAAATTTTGAATTTTTATAATTTTTAATTTCCACTATAAAATTTCTAAATCAGTTTTTTTTCCATTCAAAATATTACAACTAAACTTTGTTATGGGACAGAAATATTTTAATTATGTTTAGAGATTAATATGGAGGTAGTAGTTAAAAACAAAAGTTTTGGAGCTTGATACAAGGTAGAAAAAAACCCTGGCTCCATTACTTGCTAACCATGTACCATGGAGGAATTAAACCACTCTGGTGTTTTGTCTGTGAAAATTTGCAAACCAGGACCAGCATTGAGACACAGCGGATTATGTTGCCATGTGTGACCTTGGCATTCAATACTGCATGCTGTTTTTAGTTCAGCTCCCAAATAATGTAACAGCTCCAAATAATGTAATGGCCTAGGTACTTGGGCTCTGGCCCCTCACCATGTGGGAGACCCAAGGTAGATTTCCTAGCTGCCGGTTTCAGCCTGATCCAGCTCTGGCTGTTGTGGCCACGTGCAGAATGCAAGATTTTTTCTCTCTCTCTTTGATACTCCACAATGCCAGAGCTGAGCCAATCCAAAGCCAGGAGCTTCTTCTGGGTCTCCTAGGTGGGTGCAGGGGTTCAAGCATTTGGGCCGTCCTGTACTGCTTTCCCAGACCACAAGCAAGGAGCTGGATGGGAAGTGGAGCAGCCAGGACACGAACCATTGTCTATATGGGATCCCGGCAAGTGCAAGGCGAAGATTTAGCTACCAGGCTATTGCACCGGGCCCGCAAATCTTTTTAAAAATAAAATAAAACTGAAGAAAACTAGCAACATATACTTCAATGGATTGGTCTGAGAATTCACTGTTGTATTTGTGCACGGTGCAACCAGTATACATAAGTAGAACTTCACACTATAGTATGGGCCCAACACTACCAGGGCACTCAGCACTTCCTATGCTAACATCCTGTGACATTACATGGTGGCCACTCCTCAATCTGACTTCCCTGAAGGATGCTTGTCAATGGATCACTGTCATTACTGGGCAAGCATGTCCTAAGGGCTCCCACAGCCTTATAAACATACCCTGTCTTAATCCTCACAATTCCCTACTGCCAACACTTCAATAGTTGGCTTTCCTAACCAGTTAAATTCCCAAAAGAACTAGCTAGAAGCTTGGTCATCCCATTTTTCCTTCTTACTCACATCTAACTGGCTTCTTCAATGCACTCAACCTGCTTGTATTCAATCCTTAGCACCTCCAAGTGGCCAAAGACAATGAACATGTTTCAGTCTTCACCTTGGTTTATCTCTCAGCTACTTTCATTCTCTTCTTGCTGAAACACTCGAGTCTGTTGGATGCTCTGATTCCATCTCTTTTGAACTTCAGCCTAGTATTTCTCTTTCTTGCGTGCCATACCCCTTAGTTCCATCCTTTTTTTCCATATACTCATTCCTTTTATATTATTCTCCTTTCCTACAACTAGGGCCAACAACTCTTAAGTTGCCATCTTGTCCCCAGCCATCACTATTCCCACTCCAGATTCACACCCCTGGGACAACACATCAGCACCTCAAACTCACTTCCAAGATTAAACGTACTGACAAACGAAAAAGCTAGTTTCTAGTTTTTCCCATCATAACATCTCTGTGTATCTAGTTGTTTAATATGCACCTGTCCATGAACACCAAGGCCCTGCATGACCTGCCTCAGCCTACCTCTTCACCCTTTCTTGTGCAGTTCTCTCTAAAATGCACTCTGCTCAAGACTCAGGGCTGCTTTGTGGATTCATGAACAGCCAATTCTTCTGTCATCTTAAGACTTTTCATGTAAGTTTTTCTCTTTATGTGCTGTCTAATAATCACCTTATTTCCTCTCTCAAACCCCTTTCCCAAAAACAGATTACCTGGTGAACTCATTAAATGTGTCACTAAATGATCCCAGGTAGGAGCATTACATGACGCATAAAGGCCACTTTTCTCCAGAGGTCTTTCATAAGTCTCACTCTTGCCTAAAGTAGATACATTTCCTGCAATTTTCTTTCATAACATCCTGTTATTTTCCCTCACAGCCAAAAAAACAAAAAAGTAATTTAGAATGTCTAATGTATTTATAGGTTTTCTTTCCTTAACGTCTTTGTGGTGTTAAGAAAAACCCTCTCCCTACTAACAAGGACCACACTGTTTTCACAACTTAGCAGGTGTGGCCATATAATGTCTACCTGAGGGGCAGGTGATGGCTGCATTTCTCTCCATGGTGTGCCTGATGCTACATTATGATTAACTAAAAGAATGGGAAGGATTCACGTATCCAGCTGAGTCTGAAACTGTTCAATCCAAACTGGCTATTTAAAGCTAGAAAAAGATTCCACTTTGTATTAAAAAATAAATAAGAAGGCGATAAAGATTATATATATTAGGTTGATGCTATATAAAATAATATAGCTGAGTTATCTATGACAATGTAATTTCTTATAATTATACCCCAAGACTATATTTGTGTGTTTATAAATTTTTTTATATATTTTAAAAATCCATATGATGTTATGAAAGCAAAACAGGTTCTACATTTCCACTCATGAATGGGGGCAGGTAAATCATTTTTACACTTAAAATCTATCTACTCTTTGAAAATCATCCCCATATTACATAAGCTTAAAGTTGAGGTAAGACAAAATAATTTTATCTGATTATCAAGTGAAAGCAGTTATTAAGAACAGCAAAAGTAAATACTATCTTAAAAAAAGTTACTGATAGTGAATCGAAGTTTGCAAAGTCTCAAGTGACCTCACCAGCATCTGCTTCAATTACCTTCTCCAAATGCAATAACAAAATTACCATTCTGCTTTCTGCTGTGCTAATAAAGTTAATCTAAAATAACAAAACGCATCTGCTTTATATTCTGTATCATGCAAAAGTCAAAAGCAAAGCCCCTTCTCACTAGAATTGTGAAGCATGCCCATCATGGCTGTCACAGTCAACAGTAATGTGTTCTCACACACCCAGGAGGAGTTAATGCAATGACTAATGACTCAGCTCAATCACCTAAGACAGATTTGATTTAAATCACTTCACCTATGCCAAATTGGGCTCAATCAATTCTGCACCCACTCTGCTTTGCATACAGATGTGTCCTTGAAAACACACATGCAAATTTTACATTAAAAAGCCAGGGTAATTTAGGAATATAATTTTTTGTTTAGAAACAAAAAAACATGAATAACTGGTTTCTAATTTTATTGCTTCATAAATTCAAAAGATCACATTTTGACCATCATTTCTTCAAGCACTGCATAAGTAAACTAATAAACATCAATTTTAACGTGCATTAGGACAATTCACATTTAAATTTTCCTTCATATTCCCCATGCTGAATATTTTTACCTCAGAGTGTTCAAACTATATTTCTCACTTCACACCTATCTCAGATCAATCAGTTGCATGTGTTTCATAAAAGTTTTTTCATTCATTCATTCATTTGAAAGGGAGGGGGAATACCTGAGAGCTATGAGCACTGGAATCAGAGGAAGGAATGAGGGGGAGGGAGGGAATCTTCCATTCATCTGGTTCATGGTTTACACCCCAAAAGACTGCAACAGCCAGAGCTGAGCCAGGCTGAAGCCAAGACCCAGGAACTTAATCAATGCAGGTTCCTCATATGGCTGGCAGTGTCAGCTATTAGAGTCAGCACGTGCTGCTTCCCAGGATGCAGATTAGCAGGAAACTGGAATTAAAAGTAGAGCTTGAATTTGAATCCAGGCACTCCAATATGGATGTGGATGTCCTAAGCTTCATTATATCTATGGGGTCTATATCTGCTCTAAGCAACAGAATTACTGAGAAAAGATGAATTTCCCACTCTCCACTACCTGCCGCCTCAGGGGATCTTATATTCTTTCTTGCTTTGGGAAGCACAGAAAGTTCTCCAGTTCAACTAAATTCTCTTTCATATATATATATTATAAATATATATATATATATATATATAAGATTTTTTTTATCAGAAAGGCATATTTACAGAGAAGGAGAGACAAAAAGATCTTCCACCTGCTGGTTCATTCCCCATGTGGCCTCAATGGGTGGAGCTGAGCTGATCCAAAGCCAGGAGCCAGAGCGGAGCAGCCAGAACACTATCCAGTGCCCATATAGGATCCCAGTGAGTGCAAGGTGAGGGATTTAGCCACTGAGCCATCATTCTGGGCCTTCCTTTCATACACTTGATCTTAACCAAAAGGCCGAGAAGCAATGGGCTTACTTATGTCTTGAGCATTCAAATTTGTTTTTTTTAAGATTTATTTTATTTTTATTGGAAAGTCAGATATACAGAGAGGAGAGACAGAGAGGAAGATCTTCTGTTTGATGATTCGCTCCCCAAATGACTGCAACAGCCGGTGCTGTGCCGATCCAAAGTCAGGAGCCAGGAACTTCTTCCAGGTCTCCCACACCAGCACAGAGTCCCAAGGCTTTGGGCTGTCATCAACTGCTTTCTCAGGCCACAAGCAGGGAGGTGGATGGGAAGTAGAGCTGCCGGGATTAGAACCGGTGTCCACATGGGATCTCAGTGTTTTCAAGGCGAGGACTTTAGCCACTAGGTTATGCCTCCAGGCCCGAACATTCAAATTTGTATTCCACACTTTTGATATGTCTGACTTTGCCTTGTCTGATACCGAATGACATTTGCAAATGCTATAACAATCTGTCTTGCAAGGTCTCTTTTATATCTGGCCCCTTATCCTTTTCATTACCATTGAGTGCAAGATGCAAAAACTGAAAACAGGTTGGCAATAGTCACAAAAATGGGCATAGAAAAAAAAGTCCTAATCATTTCGTTTATGCAAACTTTATTTCAAATAGAAGTAAACAAAGGAAAAGAGTAGTAAAATTGTGAAGGAATGTTTTAGTGGTTCAAACACCCGGTCATCCTGTTTACCAGCGTGTGTAAGCTGAGAGAGCTATTACAGTCTTCAACTCAAAATCTACAATGAAACAAAGGAAGTATGTCCACATCCCAAAAATATATGCTCAGCAGACTATAGCTGTTTTTTTTCTTGTTGTTGGTATGTGGGGATATTCAGGGTTTCCTAGGTAGAGCACTTTGTGGAGCAAGTCTCTGAAAACCAAAAGATGCCACATTTTATCATTTTATTGTTTAGTAACTCTCGCTTACTACCACAATGAGACCCATTAGAATCTGTAGCATGCAACTCAACATAGCTTAATGTAGAGTGTGGGCTGTGAGGTCAGGCACACCTGGCTGAGAACTGGATTTGTCACCACATAGTTAAGTGGCC